ATTGTAGAAGAACGGTAATATAAATTTATTCAAAATATTGCCCATCACTTGCAACCACTTTTTCCCATCTCTCAGGCAGCATTCGAATCCCACGTCTGAAGAACTCCTTGTCTTTTGAGGCTATCCACGAATCAACCCAATTTTTGGTATCCTCATAAGATGTGAACCGCTGCGCCGTCAGAGCATGTGCCATGGACCGGAACAGGTGATAATCGGACGGTGCAATGTCTGGTGAATACGGCGGGTGGGGGTAACACTTCCCAATCAAGTGTTTCCAAGTACTTTTTCACGGGAGTCGCAACATGTGGACGAGCATTGTCATGCAGAAGAATAATTTTTTCGTGTCTAGAATAGTATTGAGGGCGTTTTTCCTTCAGAGCTCGGCTCAATCTCATCAATTGTGTTCGATAGAGGGCTCCAGTAATTGTTTCGCTCGGATTAAGCAACTCATAATACACTACACCTAGCTGATCCCACCAAATACACAGCATAAGTTTTTTTCCGTGAATATTCGGTTTTACTGTTGATGGTGACGCGTGGCCAGGTAATCCCCATGATTTTCTTCTTTTTGGATTGTCATAATGTATCCACTTCTCATCACCAGTTATGATACGATGTAAAAAACCCTTTTTTTATGTCTAGCTAGCAGCATTTCACTTAAGCATAATCGGCGTTCAATATCTCTCGGCTTTAATTCGTACGGAACCCAATTTCCTTGTTTATGAATCATTCCTAATGATTTTAAACGATGTGAGACTGCTTGCTGAGTGACTTCTAATGTTAGAGCAAGTTCTTTTTGTGTTTGAGATGAATCTTCCTCCAATAATTCTGCATCCTCGTAAATTTTTGGCCTTCCACTGCGATCTTTGTCTTCTACGTCGAAATCACCGTTTTTAAACTTTTGAAACCACTCTCGACACGTTCTCTCACTCAAAGCATACTCACCATATGCTTCTACGAGCAATTGATGCGCCACAGCAGCAGATTTCTTTAAATTAAAGAAGTAAACTAATATTTCCCGCAAATGACGCTTACTTGGCTCAAATTTTGACATTTTCAACTTATAATAATTATATTTTACCAATATAAAATCAATGATATTAATAGGTTATGTTGTTCTTGAATGTCCAAACTATTTTTTAAGCCGGTTATCATCTGCGAAAGCTAACCGAAACACCGTGCCGCACCATCTACAATGAAACGGCGGAAACTTATTTTTACTCCTAATATAAAAAAAAAACTCAAGGGCCTCTCGAGTCCAATATGTATCCAGCATGTATGCGAATCAAGGCTATCGCAGGAAAAACATGGATGCGATCCGCTCAAGACAGGGGGGGAATGGCGCAAGAGGGAGGAGGCCTATGCCCAGCAGTGGGCTGATACGGGCTGATGATGATGATGTATGCGAAAGATACAACCGGTGATCATCTTTATAATGATCGTCTATTCGAAACTGAGGTAGGGGTGGGTAAGTGTCAGTCTTAAACTGAAACATTTGCAATACCTCATAATCAATGGGCTGTTGCAAATATCAATGGGCGGTTATCACTTAACATTTTTCATTCAACTTTTACGGTGGCAGGGCCACGCGGCAGCCACGGCTGTTACACGAATGGGCAGGCTCGTCCGGGTAAGTACCACGACCTCACAGAAGACCGGCGTAAAGTGGAAGTGTAATACTTTCGCGTTTCGCCAGGTGAGTGAGGTGGCCGGAGCCCGATTTTCAAAAGGTTGTCAACGCATCTGCAACCCTCGAATGTAGCAGATGTCCATGGGCGGCCGTATTCACTTAACATCAGGTGAACCGCCTGCTCTCTTGGCAACTTTTCACATAACATCAGGTGAGCCTCCATACCAGTTTGCTTGCCATCTTCTCACATAAAAGAAAAACATCCGAGTAGTCTGAATTTATCTGCAGCCTTTACCACATGTATTATTTCATCACCATGGAAATCGCTTCATAACATTCGTATATCTTGATATACACTTGACTGTTAAAACATTTTTTCTGCGATAACGTAACTTGTACAAAAATCTAATCGATTCGACCGGTGTTTTGCAGATAACGTATTAGTTGATAAGTAAATGAAATGTTAAGGTATGCACCCAACGACTTGGCAACACACGCTTTGTACAGATATGATGTGCAGTAAATAATCAAATTTATAAAATTAAAAAAAAAAAAAATACCGTTCAGATGAAAATAATCCGTTCCGTGGAGGCGTTTTGAAACAAGTCATTTTGTGTTACAATTTGACATTCACTTTAAACATATTATATATAATATTTACTAGATTTAATCGATCTAATTTTTTTTTATCATCTAAAGTAAATTACTTTTATTAACGAAAAACAAAACAGACTTCAAATATCTCATCCCGTATTCATTTATCTCTGGGGCCCAAGATCCAATACCAATGAAAATAATATGGGACCACATGAGAAGCCAGGCTTTCAATTAAAGAAAGAATCATCAAAATCGGTTCAGACATTGAAAGTTCTGAGGTAAAAAAACATAAAAAATAATTTAAAAAAACTGACCACAGTCGAATTGAGAACCTCCCCCGTTTTCGAAGTCGGTTGGAAAAGTAAAGCAAACGCCTATACATGTCCCACTGCTGGGCGAAAGCCTCCTCTAGACAGAGGGTATCGGGGCATAGTCCACCACGCAGGCCCACTGCGGACTGCACATATCTTCAAAATATTTTTTTTATGTTATTGTTTTGCTCACGATGTTTTCCTTCGTCGCTCACGTGATAAGCACTTAAAATCAACAATTTCATTGGATTTCACCGGGGATTGAACTGGCAGTTATGGAAAACGTGAATTGTGGAAGCTTCTAAACAGATTCATTTTATGACCTAAGCTAACTTCAAAAGCGTATTTATATTTCACGGCCCATTATATAAGCCCCACGACTGAATGTGACAACAACGGACAATGCATGTATTCGTAGCGATTCTAAACGGAAAATTTGACTTGACGCAACGTGTGTTCACGTGGCAACCCGCTTCGGCGTCCGCCTCCGCCCGCCGTGAGGCCGCGCCCTAACTCCCGCGGTTTTATTAGAACAGCATGTCGCAACAGAACGACCGACCGGGCGGACGGCAGAACGTTCGAGATTTTTTCTAAATATGCACGCGCGACAAAGTTTACTAAGCAGTAGGGATGCGTAAAATCAATATCGACCTCGATATATCAGTAAAAGTTTCAGCCCGTAACAAAAAAAAAAAACTAAATAGGAACCTTCTAATATTTTTACTGCCAGCATTTGTCCGGAAGCCGTAGATGTCAAGTATAAAATACGAGAGAATATCTGTGCCGGATTCGAATTTAAAAAGAAATTGTTTTTGATACGATTTTCGATAGTGAATATTTTGGATCGATACATAGGATCAAAATATATCGGTAAAAATATCGATATATATATGTGTCGATAATTTTTCAGCATCCCTGCTTAGGCAAAGTGAAAGGACGAGGGCGTGCGAGACAGATTATTAAAGTTACGCTTCTTTTGGCGCGTTTGGAGAAAATTACATGAGTAAATATTTTATGATGCACGCGCACCGACAGTCAAAAGGTGACATGATGAATTTGGTTGCAAAGCGAACAACTTCTACAAACTTCACGGTATAACTATGGCAACCAATAACAACTTTGCGACATTCACCTATAACTACAAGTTATTTAAACCGTTAACAATTGCATTTCATTTTTTTTTAACAAATAAAGAGCACTGGCAAAGGGGGATATAATTTTTAGTTATTTTTCTTTTGTTCCGTTAAAGAAGTGTAACTTCTCACGTGCGTACATAAGTGTCAAAGTACTCTTTTGTAGTTTTAGTGAAGACCGCGAAAGCTATGCGAATTCTTCGCGAAGACGACGCGGAGATAATATAGGGAAAGAGCGGATGAGAAAGAATAGTATAGTGTTGTAGCAAAGAGTTCGCATTGTAGGATACATACGTAAACTATAAGCTATAATGCTTATTAGTAGCGATGCAACAATTTTTATGCACAATTAAAAAAATATTAGCATTCTGCACTCTTTCTCTATATAAACTACTAGCGGACTCAACAGGTAACATTTTATAATATCCGTTCTTAGCTGACCTCAACTCGGCGAAAGGAATATTCCTACCAAATTTCAAGTCTCCCCACCTTATGGTTCCAGAGATATAGTGATGAGTCAATTATCAGTGGAAATCTCTATAGATGATCTCTATGGAAATATATATAAATATATATGATGATCTCTATGGAAATATATATAGATAAGTGTGGGAAATTTCACACTTCTCTGTCCGCGCAATTTTCTGTAAAAGGGGTACAAAGTTTTTGCTTCACGTCCTCACTTCCTTACTAATATTATAAAGGCGAAAATTTGTATGTATGGATGGATGTTTGTTACTCTTTCACGCAAATACTACAGAATGGATTCTAATGAAACTTTACTCTAGGCTATAATTTATATACATATTTTTATATGTATCTGTCTTTCTGTCTGAATGTTACGCCTTATGCCTATTCTACGCAGACGTAGTCGTGGGCAGCAGCTAGTATTAATATACAGCGTGTAGTTACAACCGCAAAAATAAATGAACACACGTCTAACGCTACTTGCTACCTTTACAAATGAACTTTACGTTACAGTTTTATACGTAAGGGTGTTCCAAAAATGTTTGTTTTGTAAAATTTAATAACTCGGTAAATGTTGACGTTTAAATAATGTAAATGCTTAATACAATTTTAAAAAGTCATCCTCTATGTGTGTGTTAATTTATTGTCGCGGTTGCAACGACACGCTGTATACGAGTGGATATAAATAGATAGATAAGTACTCAATTAAGTAAGAGCCCAATTTTTAAAAGGTTGTCAACGCATCTGCAACCCTCGGGTGTGGCAGATGTCCACGTGTGGCGGTATTCACTTACCATCAGGTGGACCGTCTGCTCGTTTGGCAACTGTACACATTAAAAAAAAAAAAAAAAAAAAACTCACCACAACCTCCTCGGGGTCCGCTTCGACTATCACCTGCTTGAACTCGATGTCGCCGTTGGTCACAGCCTCCGAGTCGTAGTTGGGGTCGTTGGCGTCCTCCTCGTACTCCTCGAGGAGCTCGCAGCCGGGCGCGCCCCACACGCCCTTGCCACCGGCGCCGCCTGCCACAGACGGGACTCTTTTATTTGACAAACGCGCTGGCGGTTCGCACCTGATGCTAAGTGATAGCAGCCGCCCGTGGCCGTTTGCAACACCCGTAGGGTTGCAGACGCGTTGCCACCTTTCAGTAAAGTGGGCACCGGCCACCTCGCTCGCGAGACGGAACACGGAAGTGTAAAACTTCTACATTACGCCGGTCTTCTGTGAGGTCGTGGCACTCACCCGGACGAGCCTGCCCGTACGTGCAACAGCCGAGGCTGCTGCGTGGCCCTACCACAGTTAGACTTATGTATACTTATAATTTAACAATAACAGATGATTAATAAACATAACAACAATTGCATTTAACGCCTGTTTGTGTGTCTGTGTAATGATTGGTAAGTGTTAATGTTTTTGGAATTGTTTACGTTGATTTGTGGAAAGATAAAAATAAAAACAAGGAAAATAAATAAATCAAGTTTACGGTTTCAAGTGCCGAATCTTTGCATTGGTATCAGAAAGGCTAAAAGCCTTTTTTTTTTAGCTTTGAAAGAATTAATACACACTAAATTTCTTATAGGGGGGGATATCATTCCAGCATTTGGTAGCAGCGAACCGGAAACTACCACGAAAAGCAGCTAGTGCGGGTTGAACGCCCGCTTTTGGTTGCTATTAATAAATAAAATAATAAACACTTTACGGCAAATTTTTAAGCAACGTTCTCTAGTCCCAAACTAAGCAGCGCTTTTGCTGGGTACTAGATAACTCATAAACCTTCTTAAACATACTTTTATTTAGATACTGGCAAAACACTATGTCCATCACATAATATTTTTTCCGTAGTCGGGATCGAACCCGCACCCTCTGGCGCAGGAGGCACATTCACCCACTGCGGCGATCGGGTCGTCAAATTACGCAAGGTCATGGTTTTGTCCAACATTCGTCCAAAACCGGCACTCATTTGGGTGTATTGGCTACAAGAACACAACTTTGTGCGAATAACTCCAATGTGGTGCTGAAATGGTCAAAGTTGGCCCCAACAATCGCGCCAACGTTGGGTGTAAGCCGCGGCAGTCATCTCCAACATGTGGAAGTCAAGTCTTCAGGCACCTGTACACATTGGGCCAATGCATTGGACCAGTGTAGAGGGCTGTTTTGCGAAACGTTTGTGACGAATTGTAGTTGGCGCAAACGTTGGCCGGCAAGCCGAATTGTGTGGGTTTTTTGAGCACACATCAAAGGATCTTGGCGCGTTACAATGAGCAGTACGCAAATGTGTGAACAAATACACACCGCGCACTTAGGCCAAACGTGTACAGAGGCCATTACAGCATTGGAACCAACAACCGCACCAACATTGGGCGAAAGCCGCGTCATCTCCAAATTGTTGGTTCAACGTGAAATGTTGGACCAACAATTGGGCCAATCTGTGGTGCTACATACAATGATTCACGCGAACAAATAAACGGTTACATCACAATGCAAGGTTACAAGCGGTCTGTCGAACATTCGGAGGAGATAGCAATGTTTATTCGAGCGTTTTGTGTCGAGCTTTGTTCAAAACAACGACAACTATGTGGTTTAATCATTAACCTCATTAGATAACGGAACAAGATATCCGCTGTGTGAACAGAATTAATTTTACATTAATTTTAATATTTATCAGCAAATAAAGAAACTAATTAATTTTAATACACTTTATGGATTCTGACAGCCGTGATATCTATATTTTATCGCATTGTGCGGACGCTCGCCTTTAATTCAGTATACTCGAGAAAACAGACTTAGATCCCCGGTGCCGGCACCAATGAAATTGTTAATTTTAAGGCCAGACTTGCTCAGCGGTGAAGGAAAACATCGTGAGGAAACCTGCATATCTTCGAAATAACAGCAAAAAAAAAATCTTTCGAAGATATGTGGAGTCTGAAATCCGCAGCGGAGCCGCGAGGCCCTGAAAAATTATAGGCTGTTACTTTACTTTTTTTTATGGATTCTGAAACGTTAATTATTTACATGATTAATTTTTGCGTTTAGTATGCTTTTAATAACTAGCTTGCCAGCCTGAATTTGAAGCTGTTAAAGTGGTTAAAACTGAGTATCTCTCAGTTTTAACCACTTTAACAGTTTATACTACTTGTCTTGTACTTTTTGGCAGTCCGTTAGATTTTCGTAAATAATCGTTGTTCCTGCATACTTTTAGTGCTATAAAAATGCTATATTAAATACTAGCTTTTCGCTCGCGGCTTCGCTCGCGTTGTGCCCCTTAAGTAAATATCTTTCAACCCTTTACAAAACTTTTTTCAAATTAAAAAATAGCCAATGTCCTTCCTCAGGCTCTAGACTATTTGTGTACCAAATTTAATTTAAATCGGTTAAGTAGATTTGGAGAGAAAGCGAGACAGACAGACACAGTTATTTTCGCATTTATAATATTAGTATGGATATAGCCACGCTATAAATTGTTTGTTCTGTAACATTACGAATACTCCAGCAATAATATTTACGGTTGGGACATTATTAGTGTCTAAAAGGCACCAAACAGGAGAAATTTCGAAAAAGTACGGTTAAATTAAAGCCATAACGTAATTGTAGTTTCATTAAAATGTTTAGTACTCGGATAAATATAAAAATAAAATTGTATGTATTATTGTATTGTAAATATAAAAATAAATGTAATTGTAAATGTATCATGTAACCCAACGGGGTAGGAGTTCGTTGGAAAATTTAACTTATCGATATTATGACGTAAAGGCCATTATCGCATGCAAGTCCGTTGTGATGTGTTTTGCGTTTGAGATTTGATATAATGGCCTTGAACTAGGGGGAGACATTAGGGTGACCATCAATTAGATCCCCAATATTTTCTACCTCGCTGTACAGGTTTGGAACCACTTTTTGACTGACTTCAAAAAGGAGGATGTTCTCAATGTCGTACAGTAGGCCTTCGCCCAGCAGTGGGGCGTATGATGTACGTTGTAACTTGCCTTACTTACTTAATCCTTACTAATATTAAAAAGGCGAAAGTTTGTATGTATGGATGGATGTTTGTTACTGTTTCACGCAAATACTGAATGGATTTATTTAATGAAACTTTACAATAATATAGCTTATACATCAGAATGACACATAGGCTATAATTTATATAAATATTTTATGTATATCTGTGTTTCTGTCTGAATGTTACGCATTCAGCCTATTCCACGCAGACGTAGTCGCGGGCAGCAGCTAGTGTAAAATAGTGTTACCATTAATTAGAAACAAAAACTACCATTAACATCATTTAAGTAACAAGTAGTTTCATTGGCAAGCCATGACGTCAGAACTTGGGAAAAAAAATAATTTGTTGCGAGTTTACGAGTTAATTGGAGCATTAGCTAGTCATTGTTGTTATAAAACCTAAATTAATTATGTTTTGATATTTATGCGGCGTTATCTAATCATTACAAAATACCAATATTCTGTATGTGTTCAGATGGAAAGCCTGATTAGATAAATGAATATATATGCCTATAGATTGAGCACGTGATGATTCGGAAAAAATAAAAAATATCTCGAATCGATCCACGAATAGTTTCATTGGTGCTGGCACCGGTATTCAAACGGCGGGCTCTGAGCTAACCTGTACTCAACGGTGAAGGAAACCGGAGGGAGAAAAACTACATATATTCGAAATAATAACGAAAATTATTTCTACGCCCTAATGTCCTCTATACAGAGGCCTTTGCCCAGCAGTGGGACATGTATACGCTGCAACTTTATAGATTGAGGAGGTAAACAATGCGTTCTGTAACATTTTCATTATATACAATTTTGGATCGATTGTCAAAATCAAACAGAAAGAAAGATATACATAAAATATGTACATAAATTATAGCCCGTATCTTATTCTGATGTAAAAGCTATATTATTGTAAAGTTTCATTAAAATCCATTCAGTAGTATTTGAGTCAAAGAGTAACGAACATCCATCTATACATACAAACTTTCGCCTTTATAATATTAAAAGGATTAGTAAGGATATTATAGTCACTTATCGATTATCGAGAAACATTAATGTTCGGTAAAACAGTATTGTGTCCTTTAAAACGGCAAATCGTGTCTCCACTAGTTTCGTTTAAAATAAAGGGGTGGCGCGAAGGACTAGACGCGTAGAAAACATCCCCTGCGCATATATTAAAGCTTCCGGGGTGGGGTGGGGTCCCCTTCTATCTAACCTAGACCTCCGCGGGATCGATACAGCCAAGGTCAGGGGCGAAACGCAAGCATTTACGTGTTTAACTTTAACAGGCCTTTACCGTTCATGAGATAAATAGTTACGACATAATGTAGTCACAGCCTAATGTACCATTGCTGGGCAAAGGCGTATGTACATATATAAATAAATATTTTTAGGACACATTTTTACAAATCGTCCTCTAGTCCCATACTAAGCAAGATAAGTGATAAACATACGTAAAAATACTTTTCTTTTGTAAATAAATACATATTATACATAAACACCCAGACACTAGAAAACCACTATGTTCATCACACAATATTTTTCCAGTAGTGGGTGGGAATCGAATTTTCGAAATAATATATATTCGAAATAATATATATTAGAAAAAAAATTCGCAATGGTTGCGTGGTTGATCAAGCACCAATGCCTTTTGCATAGAGGCCTTTGCCCAGCAGTGGGACGTATATAGGCTGTTACTTCAATTGACTTTGGATTTCGTCTTCACTACATAGTATAAAACAAAGTCGTACCGCTGTCTGACTGTCCATATGTATGCTTAGATCTTTAAAACTACGCAACGGATCTTGATGCGGGTTTTTTTAACTAGATAGTGATTCAAGAGGGATGTTTATGTGTATAATATAATATACATTGCACCGGTTTGAAACCGGGGCGGGTCGCTGGTTGACTAATACAGGGCTCATTAAAGGTTGGCAACGCTACAGTGATAAATCCTCCGATTGAGGTGTGAGGTCCACTCGGCGATTGGCCATACGGACGCGACAACCTGAAAGTCATTAACCATTTGTGTCGCTCGGTACCAATCTGCGATGACTCCGTGGCGCAGTTGCTAAAGTATTGGCTTCAGCGTCGGGGGTCGTGGGTTCGATTCCCACACGGGACAACTATTTGTGTGACCCACAGATAGTTGTTTCGCATCTGGGTGTTTGTCCGCGTGAAATTTATGTTTGTAAAACGTCCTTACAACACAGGATAATATTATCCTAAAGTAAGGGCAGTGTTTAAAAAAAAGACAAAAAAAAAAAAAAAAAACATCTGGAATCGAAACTAGAACATATTTCGCGACCGGAGTAAAAATATGTCTGGAATCGAACCTAGAACATTTCGCGTCCGGCTGTACGAAGGCCGCAGTCCGGTCGACACGCGCTGCGGCAGAAACCTAGTCTAGGGTTCAACGGCCCGTTGCGCAACTACACGAGAACTTGAACAACTTTCCATAGACAAGGGGCCGCGACGCTGTCGTTCATAGACATTCTAAACTGCATTTTAATTCTAAACTTGTATCCTATATTTACTAGTGGACGGAGTAAAGGAGACCATAATTAAATTGTATGTTTGCACAGTATTAGTCTATTCTCAAATAAACTAAGGAGTATATATTATGCGTGTGTGTCAAATGCATGGTAGTGTGTGTAATTTTTTCTATAACGATTTAATGTATTTTTTATGCATAATTTGAGAAAACAATATTAGCATTCTGCACTTCTCTAGTCCTTACTAATATTATAAAGGCGAAAGTTTGTATGTATGGATGGATGTTTGTTACTCTTCCAAGCAAATACTACTGAATGGATTTTAATGAAACTTTACAATAATATTGCTTATACATAAGAATAAGACATAGGCTATAATTTGTATACATATTTTATGTGTATCTGTCTTTCTCTCTGAATGTTACGCCTTCAGCCTATTCTACGCAGACGTAGTCGCGGGCAGCAGTTATTATTAATATACAGGGGATGTCCGCGATGTTTGATTTATTTATTTTTATTTATTATTTTGAAGATATCTTTGCACTCCCAATTTAAATAAAAGAAGTAACAAATTTTTATAGGGAAAAAATGTTTTTGTGATATCATGAAATAAATAATTAACAGCAAAAGCCTCTAATTTCGAAAGCATTCCGTTTCAACTTAAAAGTATCTTGAAACTTTAAAAGAAATTCAGTAACTGTCCATATGCGTACACACATTTTAATTGTTTTATTTACACAATAATATTGAAAATAGAATATTTTCAAATACTTTATTTTTATGCAAAACTATAAAGTATCTTTACAAAAAACACAGTAAAATTAGTTATTGTAAAGTATGGTTGGCAACCCTAGGCGGCGATGACCACTTAACATTTTGTTGCAAAATAAACTATAGACAGCCACCCCATTTAATACATTCTCCTACAAAATGTGAAGAGAAGAATGATGAACAACGAGTTAAGGAACTCTTTGAAATTTCACGTTCAATGTACGAAAAATAGCAGTTATGTACTCTCACAACCTAAGTAATAGCTATACAATCTTATGTTTTAATAAATAGCTGCCATTTGTATTTATTACGTTTACTTTTCCCGCCGAGTTTCTTTCGCCGGTTCTTCTCAGTACCGAGGCTTTCTTTGCCGAACCGTCGGTCGTATTTTTACTATCAATAAGTGAGTGTAATACTCTTATGTTGAATAAAGATATTTTATTTGATTTGATTACTTATTGAATGATGTTCTCGCTTTCAAACTGCAGTTTGTATTTTAAAACCTCATCAAACGGTTTTATTCAAATTACTTAAATGTAACACTAACTCTGCCTATCGACCTGTTAGGTAAATAACGGTTTATAGTAAGTAATATGATATTAAATTTTCTTTTAAACATAGGCCAACGTGTAAACTGAGACGAGAGACAGACAGCCATTGTTTACATTTTTACAACGCACCGAAGTCGATTTCAACACCAAAAATTTCGAAAAACCGAACACATACTGTCTTCATCTTCAACGGTAATCGGCTAAACAATAGTTGTATGGTCGTTGGACCATCTCCCAACATTCGTGTTAAATTTATCCATCAATAACAACGAAATTAGGAAAACGAAAACATGTAAACACAAATGACCTATGCCAATTCGATTCCATTACAACTGCGCAAAAGTCGAATACGAACGCGTGACCTTGAAACGTTAAAATGTCGCCCGCCGTCGCAACGTTGGTAACCATATTTGCGCCTCGCAACAACACCACGTCGAAAATAAAATAACCGCGTGTTTACATTCCGCTCGAAACGCAATAAATAAATCAATGATCGTATATAGCGTTCATTTATGTCGGGAAATACAACACGAGATAATACGTACAGCTTTTTTGAATTCAATTACGTTCCCATCCGACAATAACAAAGATTTGTTGTATTTGTAAAGGCGTTACTTTCCTAAGATACATAATATACACGATTATCAGAAATTTTTATAAATTGCAGAGAACTACTGTATGAACAGGTTAAAGTGTAGTCTAACGCCGGTACGAAGTAAACAATAATTAAGTTGTAAATTAAACGCTAGGCACATAAAACAACTGCATGGAGTCATTCTAGAAATTTCTTTAAGGCCATTCGGTTACTTAAATGCAAATAACACATGAAACTTGACAAAGGTTACCTTTCTTGGGCAGGCCCCTGCCGTGGCCATTTCGAGGCCTGCGGCTGTTCTTCCAGCTCCGGTACTTCGGTAGCGGAGTCACCGCGCTAACTCCATCTTTGCTGTTACTACGCCCATATTTCTTGTTTTTGCGCTTGATACGACCAGAATGAGAGCTGCCGGCGTCCCCGGCGCCTCCGTCGGCGATCGCCTTATCGTTTTCGTCCACCGCCACGTTTTCCGTATCGCTAGCGATGCGGTCAACTTCCATTTCGATCAAAGTGGCCAGGACTATACCAAGCTTTTAATATGCAATACGAGCAGTTTTCTACAATAAGATCTTGTGAAAGCTCTTTTAAAATAACAACTAAACAATGGTAACGAACGACGTACACGTAATAGATGGTTGATGTTATGTATGCACTTGTGCGTATTTGTTTTGAGAACTCAATCGACGTGAAGTTGGTTGAATAACACCGGCAAATAAAAATACCAAATCAGGGCTGCCAACTGCGGAGCGATGTTGCGGCACTAGTGTCAACCGTAGCAAATACCAACGATCGGTTTTTAAACGGTTACTTTTATTATGTAACTATTTTAAGTACATTTTTTCATTTTAAAAATAAGTACGATACGCAGCTTTGTATTTCAATTTTATTTTTAAGTACTTACTTCATACAAGTATTGTAGAAAAAAATGAAACTTATTTAAAACGTAACATTTTATTATTATTGAAAACTGAAAACACCTTCACTTTCTATAATTAAAAGTGTGCTTTATCCAGAATGGAACGAAAAGGAGAAATGTTTCCTTCCAATCTTAAATCTTTACTGGTAACGTAGAAATGTAAACCAACCGCCCGTTTGTTCTGCTCAAACCTCTCAAAAGCACCGTCCAACACTGTTACCAACACAATAATATGTCAAAAATATAAGAATAACTACTGGGATTAGTTAATAATAGATCATATTTAGTCAATTTAAGAATTAAACTATTACAAAACACGAGTTCATTAACCTATGTAAAAATTATTAATTATTAAAGTCAAATTTGTTTTGTAATTTATGTGTATGTGTGTAGCAATTGTATTTAATAAAAATTTATGTTGATTTTAATAACAAATGAAAAAACACAGAGACAATTGTTTTACAAAAAAGTTCGACTTATTGAATTCTCAGGAACATAATGAGGATATTCGTTGGTCATCCAGTGAATCTAGCGATTATGAAAACATTTCGAAAAACTACGATCCATCAACTCTGAACTTTCATAGGAAAAGGAAACGGAAGAAACGGGTGCATAAAAATCTATCGAACTTAAGTATCGTAAGCGTTGAACATAAACACAAACCTTCGAACACTGATAAATCAACAATTATAAGTAAACTACATTCAGACAGTAAGCAACATACAGAAAATTTTAATGTTAAAATAAATTCATCACCAATACTGAAAAGTACGGTCCAATCAAACGAACCAAAGAGGAAGGTAAAGAGTCCTGTATTGTTACTAAAATGTAAGTCTACTATAGTATCGCCAACTATCAAAAAGAGGCTATTTCTTACCAACAATGAATCTGAAAAGCTTAAAATAAAAGACAGCACCAATATACCAAGTATACAATTAGAAACGTCACATTATTTTGCTAGTAATGTTAATGATGCAAATTCTTTTAAATCAATGTCACGTAACAATGAATCAAGTTCCAACTCAAATGAATTGTACTGTACAAAAGAGATATTGTTGAACGAATATGAAGGTAAAATACATTTTAATACCAAATGGGAAAATCAAGAATCATTAACAAGTAATAACATCGATAAAACTATTGATGCTTCAAAGCCAAGGACAAAGAAAGATTTAGTAAAAAGGGTTCAATCATATTTCGATAGCCATTTTGGTTCTGATTGCGCTTCACAGCAATCAATAAGCGAATGTGAAACATTAACGCCGAAAAGCACCTCAAAACATAGTGATGATTTAGAAATAGGCAGTTCTTTAACTCAGAATGGAGACAATGCACCTTTGCCAGTGCAAGCATCAAGTTCAGTTGCATCTAATGGTAGCTGGGAGATAAACATTAATACAGAGAAAAAAAAGAGCAAGTACAAAAAGGACGGACTGGCATACCGTCTCGACTGCCTTTTGAGGAAACAAAATGCTAGCATCTCACTATGGCAACACGAGAAGTTCCTGGCGAAAAACTCTAACTTCATCATACCCAAAAGTGAACATATTGTGTTCCGTATACAAAAAGTACATTTCAAATATGGCTCCTATCTAATAGAGACAATAGATTTATGTGATGAAAGACACCTAATATTTATAAATGGATATTATGTTAACAGTAACTGTAAGTTGGCTCCTAACATAATTTTAAAACTTCATAAGCCATATAAAATCTTAGATTTAGGAAATCAATATAAACTGGTTATCAATGTATGCAAGTTTGAGTGTGTAACCATTGAAATGTGATAATTGTCATAGTATTTGTAAATAATAAAATATTTCTATTTTCCTCAATTAATCGAACTTTTCTTCCTCTTTAATTAATATTTTATTTATGGCTTTGTTTATTTGAGAAGATGGCACGCGAGTTAACTGTTGCAGATGCGTTGCTATCTTTTAATAAAGTGGGCCCCAGTCAGCTCACCCACCAGAAGAAATGAAGAAATGGAACACTTCCACTTCACGCCAGTCTTCTTTGAGGTTGTGGTAATTATCCAGATGGGTCTGCCCATTCATGTAACAGCAAACAATGTTGCGTGGCCCTATCATAAAAAAATTTATATCATAAAGCAATGAAATCAAGACATTCTATACACACTAAAAATTTTTTTTTAAAGTTTTTTATAGTGCTAATCTCTGCACTTAAGATTGAACATGTAGAAAAAGTACGAAAAGATTGTCGCCGCTGTGGGAATCGAACCCACGTCTTCGGCATTCCCGGCCTGACGCTCTAGCCACTGAGCTAAATGGCTGATAGCCACAGCGACGAAAATCTTAACGCCTTCTTTCTACAGTGTTATTTAGCATTTGAAGCAATGCTTGGCGCTTCTGTTGTTATATCCTTTCCAGCATACAAACACTATAAAAATATTAAAATAACCCATCTAGTACCTTTTATTGTTATTACCATTATTAAAATTTATTTTAACGGTAAGATTTAAGTAATTTTTATTTGTATAAGTCATTTGTGTATTAACTGATGTTTTTGCTCTCAGTCCCGAGACTATTAAAGCTTCATCTGACGCAGAACCGGTGGGCTAGCCAGAACCCACGGGTTTGGGCCCTCCGCTGTGGGTAGGGCCACGCATGTGCTCATACGTGCGTTTAACTATGGTGTGTCATCTAAGGGCCATCGAGGTCGCGGTTCGGACCGAAACCCCGATGGCCGTCGACTGTGCAATTAGCTAATCGGTGGCTTGGAGCGGTGAGAACCGCCCCGGAACGCGGGTGTACCTTGTGTACGCGTTGTGTTGGTCTCGCCGTGCTCGGAGGCGAGGGCGAACTAGTGTTTGTTGTTGCACTAACTGTGGGTGTAGTGTTATCCGGCGGGAACCCCGGTGGTGGGTCCGAGGCCATTTGTATTCTGTTTGATGTTGTTACGTAACCTAATGTAAATAAAGTATATGTATTGTTATTCTATAATCACAATCACTTGATGACTCCGTGGCGTAGTAGCCAAGGTATCGGCTTCGGCGTGGGGGGTCGTGGGTTCGATTCCCACACGGGACAACTATTTGTGTGACCCACAGGTAGTTGTTGCGCATCTGGGTGTTTGTCCGCGTGAAATTTATCTTTGTAAAAACGTCCTTACAATACGGGATAGTGTTATACCAAAGTAAGGGCAATGTTTTTTAAAAAAAAACAACAACAATGCATGTGGAGTAGTAATTGAGAGGCAATAATAGCTTTGAAAGCACAAAGTAGGTCTTTTATTAATCCTGCCTGGTGAAGCCTGTCTTAATAGTGAAGTAGATCTTGTATCTTGAATTAACTGATGTTTTTGCTTTCAGTCCCGAGACTATTAAAGCTTCATCTGACGCAGAACCGGTGGGCTAGCCAGAACCCACGGGTTTGGGCCCTCCGCTGTGGGTAGGGCCGCGCATGTTCTCATGCGTGCGTTTAGCTACGACATGTCATCTAAGGGCCATCGAAGTTGCGGTGCGGACCGAGACCCCGATGGCCGTCGACTGTGTTTTTAGTTAATCGGTGGCTGGGGGCGGTGAGAACCGCCCTGGAACGCGGGTGTACCTTGTGTACGCGTTGTGTTGGTCTCGCCGTGCTCGGAGTTGAAGGCGAACTATTGTGTTTGTTGTTACACTAGCTGTGGGTGTAGTGTTATCCGGTGGGACCCCCGGCGGTGGGTCCGGCGTATCTAAGTCCCCTGCCTCGACCGGGTAGATGAGGACGTTTCACGGGCGACGCTTGATGACGTTCGCGTTTGTGTCGGGTTGGTAATTTGCTGCGCTTACCACCAGAGGGTTGGGATGATGTTCGGCTCTATCGAAAGTAGATCTTGAAACATAAATGGCAGTCTCTAGAGCCGTGATATGTCTGGGCGCTCGCCTTTAATTCAATGTATTCGAGCACCCCGAGTTCGATCCCCGGTGCCGGCACCAATGAAATTGTTAATTTTAAGTGCTGACTTATCACGTGCTTAGTGGTGAAGGAAAACATTGTGAGGAAACCTGCATATTTTGGAAATAATAAATAAAAAAAAATATTTCCAAGATTTTAAATCCGCCAATCCGCATTTCGGCGGCGTGGTGGACTATGCCCTGATAACCTTTGTGCAGAGGAGGCCTTTGCCCAGCAGTGGGACATGTATAGGCTGATACTTTTTTTTTAGACAACGACATGAGTTTGTTAATTATTAAAGCTCTATGTACAGTATTCATTGATTGCTGCCTGGAATGTGGCCTACATAAAAATGGATACATATGCAATCAAATTGTATTAATATTTTGTTCAAGATTTACGCACATCCTAAAGATGAACAAAAATGTTTGTACTAAATGACAAAATGGATGCAATATTTTTCAAATATGCGAAATTAACATAAGGAAAGGGTCTAGCTAATACGTCTTTATTATCCATAGAAGAAAAATAACTCGGAATTAAATTTATTTATATGTTTGATTTAGTACATCAAACACTATGGTAGTACAACATTGACTTTTCATATCAGATCATTAATGCCCATTGAAGGCTATAGAACTTATTTGACTTATAACCAATCAAATTTGTAGATAAAATTGAGGAATAA